GTCCGAACTGACTGCACTGTATTTTATGTATAATCATTTTCTATTTTTAACCGTTTTAAATTAATTTTAAATACATTTTTAAATCATTTAAAAAGTTTTTAGATTCCTTGTTTTATTGTTGTGATTATTTTTTATGATTATTTTATTTATTTTATTTTATGTAAAGCACTTTGAATTACCACTGTGTATGAAATGTGCTATATAAATAAACATGTCTTGCCTAATAACGTGCTAGTTAGCAAGTTCCGTGGCTAAAGTAAACAGTCTCATGAGAACGGCTGGTCACCCCACGGAAGAGAGGGGCGGGGTGAGCAGAGCTCATTAGCATTTAAAGGAACATGGACTAAAACGGCTTGCTGAAAACAAAGCTGATTTTTAAAGGGTAAAAAGGGTTTTGTTTTACACTACCATTGAGAAATTGTAACCAAAGTATGTTATAAACTGTGTGGAGACGTGCTGATATCGCGTTTGGTCTCGTTCTGTATTGCGTATCTTGTCAGTGTCTGCGCTTGCTTGGCCATTTGTTGTGGAAAAAATAAGGACGGTTGTCCAGCTGAATTAATTTAGTATTTTGTTAGACGGGTATAAAAAAGCTTAGTTTACCCGCGGCAGCCGTCGCGTGACGGCCTCCTCGTGTGAAGACCGAAGAGGATAAAGACCATCGACTCTACCGTGCGACTCCCCCGTGCAGGAACACAGACAAGGGTCGTGTTCGTTGTCCATAACATAACCCCACCGCCACCATGGGACAGTCGATCCACAACGTTGACATCAGCAAATGTCAACTCACCCACACGACGCCATACACGCTGTCTGCCATCTGCCCTGTACAGTGAAAACCGGTTGACAGATTGTGGTGTGGAAAATTGTGCACTGATGGTTTTCATTTTATTAACGAAGAACGTGGCAATGTCGTCAGCTCTTAAAGGGTTAATGACATGATTTATTTTTTTACAATTATTTTAATATGCTCCTTGAGGTTCACCTAAAACGTATGCGGAAAAATTATTATATTCAATAATATAATGTTATATTCACGTTATATTATTATATGTGTTTTGAAAATATAATCCAAAAACTGTCATTTACAGACAAAGCATTATGAAATTGTTTACTTCTGGTTTGCAATGCAGCTTCTGTAAAATCCAATACTGTTGGATGCTTCATCTTTCAACAAAAGTTTATTTTAGAACTCTCTACTAAACTGTGTCTTGTTTACAAAACAATCTACAGTCAAATGTTCCAAACAAACATATAACTCTGCAACTCGATCTCGGACACCATTACAAACCATCCACTTGTTTCTGGCAATCAAATCCTTCTGAAGTCTATACAGAGACACAAACAAGCTGTTTAAACAGGGCGCATCACAGCAAACGCTCTTTTACTCTTCCATTTCTCCTGTTGTCAACAGATTTGTACGGACCACCCATTAGCCCAACAACAGAATTCAATGGTGTAGGGGCGAAGGTATAATGCATGTACAGTAGGTCTGTCACATTTGGACCAATCAGACACACAATTTTCATTAGATTTAACAAACCAATTATTCATCAGAGTAACAAATAATCACAGACCCCTCACCCAATAAACATACTGGGTGTCAGCATGTCTGTGTATGACCACAGGCCCCTGGTTACCATGGCAATCAGTGCACCTCAGCCAGATCAGATAAACTTTTATGACCTAAAAGTATGTAGAGAGAATCTTCCTCCCTACTCAATTCTCTCTAAAACAGACACATACTGCTATAGGAAATGACTTCTTTCATTAATTCATAGACACATTTTTCTGACTTTCCTATCATGCATATCCCCAGGTCTTTGTGTATGATTACTACCTCCTTGTATATGGTCTTGTCTATTGTATACTGTTTTAATGCATGCTTATGACAGATCACTAGTTAATGTAAACTCACCTATACCATGTTTGGCCTCTATGAATTCGTCTTCGGATTATCTAATTGAGAGTGTATATAATATGTGGATATCGATGCAACATGTTAGTGTTCTAAGAATCTTTAATAGTTTGCATATCAAAATCCAATCCAGTTCCATATGCAAATTACCATGCTCTCAGACAAAGGGTCATAAAACCACCCAGTATTTCCAACCTCCCGCTTGGAAATTCAACCTCTCTCATTGGACAAGCCCATCCTGGGCTCCAACATATAGCCCTTCAGTCTGCAGTCCTGTTAGTTTCTGAGAAGATAAGGATGTGAGCTAGAAACTCTTCTGCAACCCTTAAGTCTGTGCTAGGCTTCGGCCTAGTCTTTCCATTCATCAAGATCCTTTGAATCAAAATGGTTCTTTCTCATCACCTAACTTCAGCCAACCAACTGGAGCCCCAAAGTGCATCAGGACTCTCTTTCAAACAGGCGAGACGTGCAAGTATCAAACTTAGGTTTACTAATTGATACATTAAGTATCATTTGCAGCTTTTTTTTTTTTAACAAAGGTGTGTTTGAACTAAGAAACTGATGTTTCCTTCAGGCTGTAGATCTGCTGAATATCAAATTGTGCCATTGCTTCATATCTTTATTTCTCTTCTCTTTACTGCTTAAGCTTGAACCCCTTTTCCTATGCCAACTGTATGCATGTGTGTGTGTGTGTGTGTATGTTAGACTAGTTTAAGTGTTTATGTAGTTAATAAAGTCTTACTTGTATCACACTTGAGGTTGTTCATTGTTTGCTCATAACTGGAGTCCCTAATCATGCAGATTTTTGCTACATGCTCTGAGTAGTATTGTACAATGAGAAAGTAAATGTTCTTAGAATTGACAGACAGTGGACACTGAAATGTCAAGTAAATACTTACAGCGGATCTAAATATTTATAATTAATCATAACTAGTTATGATTGATTCTTCATATTTCCCCTTTGAGCTGATTCACTACAGGTCTTTTACTTGCACAGCTGTAGAGTTTATCTAATTTCATTAGGATTCAGTTTCACCTTGATTCTAACTCTTTGCTTAAACTGACTGCAGAGTCGTGGATCTCACAATCACAAACTCACCAGTCTGATCTTAATCAGAGGGTGCAAGGTTAACCATTAACTTTAAGTCGGTCACCTACTGCTTGCTCATAAAAAGTGTACTTTGTTTGGTCACTTCAATACAACTTGCTAAGTCAGTGCTAGACAGAAATCAAAAGGTCTCCAGTACCTACTGTTCCTTATTCATGAGCATTCAGTATATTCTGTACTGGGCACAGATTTGCGTTAAAAGCCTCCACATAATCCACTAGTCATAATGATTTCAGGAGAGTTCAGAATAAATCAAATATAACCAGAGGCGGACAGTAACTAAGTACATTTACTTAAGTATTGTGCTTAAGTACACTTTTTGAGTATCGGTACTTTACTTGAGTATTAATTTTTCTGGGAACTTATGACTTTAACTTCACTACATTTGAAAGACAAATATTGTACTTTTCACTCCACTACATTTCTATCAAGTATATTAATAAATATATATTTATTTATTTATGTTTTTTTCCCCCATAGGTTTTTAACGTTCTAAAAGCTCTTTATTCCAAAGATACTACAAGCTAGTCCGTGTATTCAGCAGGTGTAATGTATTGTACGTTGCTTCAGAAGTATTGCAAGTATTACGTACAGCAATAAAACAGTGCATTGACATAAAAAAGGAAATTTACTTTTGGTACTTAAGTACTTTTAAAAGCAAGTACTTCTGTACTTTTACTTAAGTAAAAATCTGTCTTTACAACTTTTACTTGTAATGGAGTAATATTTGACCAGCGGTATCTGTACTTTCACTCAAGTAATGGAGTTGAGTACTTTGTCCGCCTCTGAATATAACATTTTATTTGTTGGGTAAGAATGTATCATGCCAATTACATAATTAAACAATGAGTGTTCAATTCAACAAATGAATGCCAGAGGGTGGGGCCTACGGTGTTATGATGCATAACTATTCATTGATGTCTTGCTCTGAAGGCAGACATATACAGTGCCTTGCAAAATTATTCATACCCGTTAATTTTTTTCACATTTTGTTATGTTGCTGCCTTATGTTAAACTGCTTTAAATGACTTTTTTCCACATCAATCTACACTCCATACACCATAATGGTAAAGCAAAAAACTGTTTTTTAACATCTTTGCAAATTTATTAAAAATAAAAAACTAAAATGATTCCATTGCATAAGTATCTGGGACAGTTGAAATTTAGCTCAGGAGCATTAATATTGCTTGTAGATAATACTACACTTCAAGTGAAGTTAACCTGTGGCAAATTCAATTTAATGGGTATGATTTGGAATGGCACACACGCCTTAATAAAAGGTCTAACAGCTGAAAATGCATATCAGAGCAAAAATCAAGACTGAGGGACTCGTCAGAGTAGAAGGAACGCTCAGTGTAGCAAAATATAGAGATATGAAAACCCAGTCCAGAGCGTTCAGAACCTCAGACTGTGCAGAAGGTTTACCTTCCAACAGGACAATGACCCTAAGCACACAGCAAGAGTGGCTTATAGACAACTCTGTGAATGTCCTTGATGGCCCAGCCAGAGCCTGGGATTGAACCCAGTCAGATATTTCTGGAGAAACCTGAAAATGTGCATCTGCCCCCATCCAATTTAAAGCAGTTTAACATAAGGCAGCAACATAACAAAATGTGAAAGAAATGAAGGGGTATGAATACTTTCGCAAGGCACTGTACATATGCATGTAACAAATCCCACAATGACCCTGAACTGAACTAGTAAGAAAATGCCTCAACCTCAATAATGCAAGTCTGCATAGATTCCTAAAGCCTTATTTATGATCAACTTTTGTACTACAAGTGTTCCAAACTGCCTAATGTTAGAAATTAGATGCTAAAGCCACTGTGACACTGATTGCACACAGTTAGCCCCTTGAATTTTCCACTTATGTGTTACATGGATTATGGATATGGATTACTTGAAAGAATAGAGTAATAAATTAAACATTTAATGGCATAAACCTGACCACCAGAATAGCTGGCAAATACTAACCACTAATTCAGAGAAACGGGCATGCAGTTCTTCCTCCGGGGGCATGGGGGCACTGAATTCCAGCAGCTGCAGCGGTACACTGTCTTTCAGGTTGATCTCAGGGGGTTCACTGCTGCTGAAGCAGCACATGAAGCCCAGGGTGGGCCGTGTGCGCTTCCGGGGATGCATCCTCTCCAATCCGGAGGGGCCGACAGCCAGCGAGGCGAAGAGTCTGCTATCTAGAGGGCATGATCTGAAAGAGAAAAAAGAACCAATCAGGATTAAAACACACACACACACACACACACACACACACACACACAAGATGTCTACATAATCATTTATCACAAACTAGATGGTTTTAAATCTACTGAAAAACGTAAAGAGATAGTTCACCCAAAAATAAAAATTGTCGTTGTTTACTCGCCTTCATGTTGTTCCAAACCTGTATGAATTTCTTCCTTCTGTTGAACACAAAAGATGATATTTTGAAGATTGTTGGTAACCAAACAGTTGCTGTTAGCCATTGACTCCATAGTATTTTTTTCCATACTCACTTTCCATACATGTCAATGGCTACCAGCAACAGAAGACAGAAATGAATACAGGTTTGGAACAACTTGAAGGTTAGGAAATTATGACAGAATTTTTCATTTTTGGGTGAACTATCCCTTTAAGACGTATGTCAAGAAACGGAATACATGTGTCGAGCATTCAACCACAGAAATAAAAAGCCAAAAGCAACTCTTGAGCAAAGATGAAGCCTCCCATTAACAGTTTTGAATTCTCCCTTTATTTTTTATTTTTTATTATTATTATTATTATTTTTTTTTTAAAGCCCTCAATACTCCCTGATACAGTGTTCCCTAAACTCATGTACACCACTGATGTTGAATTTAAAGCAGTTTCAAAGCAGTCTAACAGCTTTAATTGCTCAACATCAGAATGGGAACATCAATGAAAGATTGGCTGTTGTTCTACAGGCTGAACCCTTCAGCTGTGTGGAGTGGCCATGAAGGAACTGGGTTTTTGAAAAGCAACTGCTCTCATCACTCTCCAGAACTTCTTCGGTCCATGTGGGCATAGAGAATGGAACTGCCTGGCACCTCTCTGGATGTACTGGAATAACCCCCGGGGCACTACAAAGACTTCTCTGTTTTCAGGCTACAATGTTCACCAATGGCAAAAGAGAAGGAAAGTGAAGGAGGACATCAGTAATCGCCAGAAGAGGCAGCTGTACCCATCACACTCACCGGAACAGAGAAGACACAAAAGGGAAATGAGCCCAGCATTCCTAGACTCCCTGGTCTCACGATTAAGCCCACCATAATCAGAATAGTAGTGGTTTCTAAAATTGTGACAAGGAAATACAACTGTCAGCCTTGCTTAAATCAAACCCTACAAGTGCAATTACAAGTGATTGCTACAAAAAAAAGTTAAAGGGGTCATGAACTAAGAAATCTAAATTCCCTTGATCTTTTGACATATAAGAGGTCATTGTACTATAAAAACATCCTGTATGTTTCAGAACTCAAAACTTTGTTTATAGCTTATATTGAAAGCAGTCTGACAAAATGTCTGCTTTTGGAAAGTTCTACTCTATGATAATAGTGTGGATAAGTGCCACCTCCGCAAAAGAAGATCGACATCACTGCCTGTTTAGGCCCGCCCACCGATTCGCGCATAGTACTTTAGAAAGAAGTGAACTGTGCCGACTATATTGGATCTGACAGTCATGTCCCAACACACAAGTGTGAGTAACTGTTTTTATTATATGTTCACTATTGCTTTGTCTGTTAAAAAGATCGTTTGATATGTATTGAGTATTTATATGTTTTTAACCTAAATCACAGCAGTGTCCATCTGTGAAGGACGTAGACTGTCAAACATACACAAGCCAATCACGTTGGGCATTTACTTCCAAGTCTACAATCCACCACGCCTGTTCAAATGGAGCATTCTGATGAGGGTGGTCAAAAACAGGACAGAAAATAGTCTATTACTTCAAAATTATGATGTTTTTTTGATGTAAAAATCTTGATAACATTATAAGTGGACTTCAGAGAACAGTACAACATAAAAACAGAGGCAGTTCATGACCCCTTTAATATCAAAATAGTATGACATAATACGGTTGCTGGATTTTTGCCAGTCCAAGGTGGTCCGGTAGCTATAACTAGCTTGTCCAAGATGATGTGCCAAGATAAATTAAAGGTGATCAGCAATCTAGACCAGCCTCAACTGGCTAAAAAACATGAGAACCAGATCAGGTTTCTGCTATATCAAGACGGCTTTCCTAAAAAAATTTTTAGAGTTGAGAATGAATAATTTATTATAATTCAGATAAATTAATTTACAAAAATAAATACAAAATAAAACAGGGGCGGAGGGGTTAATGTTTTACCTAAGCTTGCTATTGGAATTGAATGTGATGAGAAAGACAGACTTAAAGAAAGACTGGTTGCCACTAAATAATACAAATAAACAATTAAATGAATAAAATCTCTTCATACAGATTGTCACCGGTTACAACCAGCATAACCCTTTGTTAAAGCCTTAAAGCTACATTATAAATACATAAACACAGCAAAGACAAATGCTACTTTAAACTTTAACATTACATACATTTAGTATATAGCTTTAATAATTTACTGTTATTATGTCAAGTTTCAGATGCTTGTGAGAAGGGTTAGGAAAGATATTTCTGTGGCGAGTGAAGTTGCTGTCTATGTACATTCTAAATCAGTTGCATTATAAGGTTAAAGGTTAAATGAAAGATTCTGCCTCTTGTGAATGACCCCTAATGAATACATTACAGTTGTTTCATCAATGATATTGAAAACACCACTAATATAAATGCAGGTACGGATGTGTGGAAACATTGGAAAACAACCAAAAATTTAATTTGTTCATACATGGATGTATAATAATGTTCATGCTGTCTCTTATGCATTTTTGCCACAGGGCAGGCCAGGGCATACTGGGTAACCTGTGTTGACTCTAAAGAGCACAGTGGTGTATAAAGACAGACAGAGGGAATCCGACAGAGATGGAAAGTGGGGAGGGGGATGGCTGTTGCCATTTCTCATTCAGCTCACGACCCACATCACACTATCCTGTGTGCTGCTGGAAGTAGGTCAGTGGAGGAGAGAGGGAGGAGCATTTCCTAACACACACTGCTCAAATGGTTTCTATATCTTGCATTACTTTTTCTCGCTTGTGTGATTTTTCTCGCAGAATTTCTGCAAAATGATACGTTTTCCCTTTCCATTTCTAGCTTTTCTTCTCAATGACATGCCAACAGAAACCTCCATATTCCTACTGGTGGATTTGAGACTCTGGGGAAGTTGTGCCACCCCTAGTTTCTAGCCAACCATAAACAAAATTGGTAATGTGACCACAAATATTTTAAGAGTAATCCATTTTACTCTGATGAAGAGAGGCCCATGAAATAATTACATTTAAGTAAAAAAAAACATGCAGCACAATAAGTTTTGTGCTGTTCAACATTTTTTTATGTTTAAGGACTCATGCTACTTGTGTCTAAACAATTACAAACACATTTTTTAAAATATCACATTTTTAATCACCCTCCAGGGGTGGTGGTTCTTCTCTCTAGAAATATGGCACATAATCTTAGAGTTGGTACTTGACTAACTGGGGCCCAGGTCAGGAACCAGACAGACTGTCTAAACCGACCGTCTGCTAGCCGCCTCACATCACAAAAATCAGTTTATTCTCAGCACATAGAGACTCTTTCACCTAGATCTCACACTATAGAGACTGTGTCTGTTCCCCGAACTAGAAAATACAAAAAATGTCCAAACCAATTAAAGAGAAACAATTTAATAGATGTTCAACAAATAAAAAAAATTATATAATACAGAGAAACAGAGTGCTTAATAAACAAACTCCAGCTGGTCCAAAATGCAGCAGCTAGAGGTCTTACTAGAACTAGGAAGTATGACCATACTAGCCCAGTTCTGTCAACACTGCACTGGCTCCCTATTAAACATCGTATAGATTTTAAAATCTTGATAATTACTTATAAAGCCCTGAATGGTTTAGCACCTCAGTACTTGAGCAAGCTCTTATTACATTATAGTCCTCCACGTCCCCTTGTGTTCTCAAAACTCTGGCAATTTGATAATACCTAGAATATCAAAATCAATTGCGGGCGCATATTATTTTCCTATTTAGCGCCTAAACTCTGGAATAATCTACCTAACATTGTTCGGGAGGCAAACACACACTGTCAGTTTAAATCTAGATTAAAGACCCATCTCTTTAACTTGACTAACACACAACACACTGATACATTTCTAATATTCAAATCCGTTAAAAGATTGTTAGGCTGCATTAATTAGGTCAATCGGATCTGGGAACACTTCCCATAACACCCGATGTACTTGTTACATCGTAAGAAGAATGGCATCTACACTAA